TGTATTGATATAATAATCCAGATGGGGACGCACCGGAGTTTGAAAAGCTGACAGCTTTCTTTTCCTAGAAGTCAATGATTAGTTTGATTATTCGTAAGGTTTCATCTTTTTTTCCAGTAGCTCATTCTTTGGAAGTTTATCAGCAGAATTCATCAATAAAAATGACAATAAATGAATGATACACACAGTCCATGTTTTTCCTATTCTGTGAAAATAGCAGTCAACATCATTCTCATGGTTTTGTGCAATTAATTACAATTTTCATTCTTTCCAGACCACTTCTGCTTGCAGCATAACCAACTGCAATATAGCCGACGATCCACAATGGTTAGTGAAGGATTAAACTATTAGGAACAACAACACACAGCTCAAGTGTATCGTAGTTTTGCGAGGTGTTTGTTTCCTTTGAAGGTTAACCACCATCCAAAACTCTGCCGGATTACTGGTCGTGTCTTGCTCAATCAGGATTAAGGCAGGGAACTAGATACTTGATTCATATAAAATGTTTAGATGTACATGCCAATATGATATGGGTCATAGATGAGGATGACAGTTTAATATGAGGGAGAAGACTTCACAGATACAACCATGAGTATTAACATAACTATTGTGACGGTGTTCCCCCCTTATATTTCTCCCATGCCTGCTGTAAGAGTCATATCCACTTTACCCGAGCGTTCTCTACGTCGCGGGCATCAGTTTGATATATGTGGGAGAGTGTAGTGTTCTCGCGTTGGCGAGAAATTCTTAAAAGAAAAGTATTTTGGCCTGTGGAATAGGCCCTTTAGGGAGCCAATATGGCGCTGGCCCCTCCGTTTTCCCGCTCAAACTGTGTGACGTCAGTGGCACCAGATTGGTCACCGACAGCAACGTGGCACAGGGGGCCAATGAAAACCGCCCCTGGCAAGTATGATGTCACGAAGGCAGGGGGGTCCAGAGATTGCACCTCTGTGGCACCACCAGTCTGAGACAGCACGCCAAGGAGGTCGGACGTGCGCTGGGGGGTTCTGTCAGTTGGACAGTTTACCCCGTCTCCGGAGGATTTACGCATCACCGGCGGTCTGCCAGCACCAGTGGGGTCTTCCTTCGTTCATGTGTTAGACCAGAGAGGGAATTGACGGAATATTGAGCAACAAGTGCTCCAGGGACAAGTGTTGTGGAAGAGTGGAGTCTAGATAGTGATGTATGGGACGTCTGATAGCTTCACAGTGACGACGTAGCGGCTGGGCCAATCCACCGGGAAGCAGTGAAAGAAGAAACTAAATATGGAATCAGGACGACTGCAGCCGAGAAGTAGGTTGGCAGCCGTAGTTGGGAGAAGTCGATGGCCGGGAGACCGACTCCAACCCTACAAGACTGTGGAGGAGCACGGACCTGCGGAGGACAGAACATGGAGACGACGCGTTTATTTTGGGACGTTGATTGGGTTCCTGGAGGACGCATCAGAGCGTGTGTGGGGGCGTTCCCTACAACGAGGCTAGAGCCTGGACCAGGAGCTACAATTTAACTCTCACCAGAGGATAGGTGGAAGTAGGTGATTCTAGTTTCCCTCCCAATTTCCCTTTAGTCAGCTATATATTTAGCCAGAGTATCTTTCATGTCGTGAGCAAGGCTCACTTATGTCTATGTCACAGTTGTGCAGAGTGAGGCTGTACAGAGCTCTCACGATATTTATATATGTGGTGTGTGCAGACACCTGGAATTATTGAAGAATTTATAGTGTCGTGGATGATTCTTTCATGTGACATTAATATGATAACTTATGCTAGAGAGTATATATATAAGTGTACCAGTTATTGGTGTTAGGCTGTGTGCCCAGTATTTATATTATCATTATTGATATTGATGAATTTATCCCTGTGTATGTATATGTTGGTGTGAGGAATAACATTTCCATGTGTGCAGTGATTAATTGTATTATCGCCTTCGAGAGGAATTACTGAATCTAAGAACAGTACCGTGGTTAATTGCATTCATTGTAATTATTATGAAATACAGTGCATTACGCGATTATAGTAAAATATCATGTTAATTGCTGTAGAAATGAGTTATTGAACTTGAGATCAGTGTGGTGATTCATTGCGTTCTATTGCAATTATAGAAATATTGTGTTGATGACAAATATAGTGATTCCTGCGAATTTAAAGAAACAGAGCGCATAACGCATAACGCAAGGAAAACAAGTACTAAGCATTCACACGGCGAGAGGGGCACGGCTCAGCTGATTATGACATTGACGTGAGGGGGGAGAGTGTTACCCTCTAGGTACGCCTCAGTTTTATGAACTGAGTGACTTTCTGCATAGTACCTGATGTTTGGTTGTTGATACGGATATAATACCTTGAAGCTTTTAAGTAAAATACAAAATACCTTTGCGTTTATATTATCCCTCCAGATATCTTGTTGCTATAGAACAGTTCCAAAGAGTGAGAGTATTAGAGACATATACCTGCCTGAGACCAGATCTAATGAGTGAGCTCTCTGCCACTAGTACCACAATACCACTGACGTGTTACTGGACACGTGAAACACCAGTTGGCGACCTTGCAGTTAGTATTAGAGCCCTTGTCGGGGCGGGCACACGGTTGGGAGTGAGCAAACAGTGTTCCCACTCATTTTTTGGCTATGAGGCTGGCTGGGGATTGACTGGGATACTCTCCTGGCGAACAGTGGCGCCGCGAGGATTGAGTGAAGACCTGCAGGGCTACGGTGAGTAACAGTTATTGCTAATACTACTGGGTGGTGTCCATGTAGAGAGAGAGGCACCCCGCAGTTGGCGACCGTTGACAGGATAAAGTACTAGGATATCTTGTATACTGTTACTCGCCCCTCATCAAGCGGTTGACATACCCCGACACTATTTATTACTGATTACTTTTATATACATGTTTGAGCTTTCTCTATTTAATTTAGGAAGCGTTATAAACAAACTAATCACAGTGATATGTAACTGGTCCACTGCACGATATTTAACCGTCTCGAAAGACTCTGTCGTAACACAGGTTAATATGACTTACTTCACTATATGGCTTCCTAACACTGCAGCAATTACAAAGGTACTTCAGGAGTTCCAGTGTGAATACTCAGGCATCAATTTGCATTCACGAAACCTAAAAATCTCCAACACTTACAGCAACATGTGCGGTGTAATTAATACTGACACGTCCACTTATTATCACCGTGAGAATACTCACACAATGTTACACGATAATAATAGTGATAAAATTTAGGCTTGATCCACGTGGCTCTGTCAGAGCACGCGGCTCTGTAGGAGCACGTGGCTCTGTAAGCGAACGTGGCTCTGTAAGAAAACGTGGCTCCGTAAGAGAACGTTGCTCTGTAAGAGAACGTGGCTCTGTCAGAGAACGTGGTTCTGTATGAGAACGTGGCTCTTTAAAGCACGTAATTCTGTAGGAGCACATGGCTCTGTAAGTGAACATGGCTCTGTAAGAGCACATGGCTCTGTAAGAGCACATGGCTCTGTAAGAGCACATGGCTCTGTAAGAGCACATGGCTCTGTAAGAGCACATGGCTCTGTAAGAGCACATGGCTCTGTAAGAGCACATGGCTCTGTAAGAGCACATGGCTCTGTAAGAGCACATGGCTCTGTAAGAGCACATGGCTCTGTAAGAGCACATGGCTCTGTAAGAGCACATGGCTCTGTAAGTGCACATGGCTCTGTAAGAGCACATGGCTCTGTAAGAGAACGTGGCTCTGTAAGAGCACATGGCTCTATCTTGACCAGGATAAAGAACACACGTATGTCTGTGTCTGCTGCGGTACTCTGAATGTTACATGTCGCACACGTATCCTGCCAGCTGTGAACCAGCCTCCACCAACCACAATATGAGTACACCATAGGCTCTACCCCGGACTGTCCTCTGATGTTACTGGGGGTGAGAGGACGCAGGTATTGCAGCCATGTGCAGATACTGAGGTCAGGTACCAACTTTTCCCGCTCTTCAACTCATTTCGTGCCAATACACTTCACCCAAAACGGCTACTCCATCTGTGAGCTATGAACATGCTCAATAAGGGTTCTGTGACCTTGTAGCATAACCTGATGTCTTACAATGGCCATAGTAATATATCTATTCTCCAAATGAGAACAGTTCTCCAATCAATACCAATTTGATGGTCCAACATATGTTAATACACCTGACAGAAAGAAAACAGTCCGTATTCCAAGATAAAGACATCAAGATGAAGGGATGTAACCAGAAGGAACACCCGAGGTTTTGTCCTGGGGAACATTATTGCTCCAAATTTATGTGAAACATCAGTCCGAGGGAGTGAGCTTGTACAAGTCAATGTAAGCGTATGATCAAGCTAATGCGGACTATGAAAACTAAAGAAAACTACATAATTAAAGGAAGTTCTTGATAAATTCCATGTATGGACCGACAAATGGTTGTTAGAGCTTAACCATAACCTGTGTAAAGTAATGAATTTGGGAAAGAGAGGCACATACATATATTGGATACCATCAGGAGCACATGAGAAGCTGGCAAACTATTAGTATGGCATTTAAGACAATCCATACAGCCTATTTGAGGTCAATGAAGAATATTCTGGAACACTAAACTAAATTTGAAAAGTGTAGAGACTTAGAAAATGATTAGTTACTAAATTAAAATTAATGAACATTAATTAAAATTTACTAAATTAAAATGATGAACTATGGGCAGTTATTATTGGACCTCCATCTCGCAAATCTGAAAAAAGAAGAAAGAAAAGGGATCTTATAAGATACTGAGGGGAAATAGATAAGGTCAACAAAAACAGCAACTTAAAAAAAAAAAAAAATAGGACAAGCGAACATAGGTGGAGACTGCATACGTAAACGAATCAAAGAAAAGTAAGCAAATTATTTTACCCTATGCAGTTTGTCAACAGATGGAATGAACTGAAAGAAGAAGGTGTGGAACCCACTTCCATATATAACGTCATGGCCAGATACTACAAAAGAATTCTGTTATCAGGAAAGTTAAAACACAAAAAAATGCACAAGGTTTAATAAGGTAAACAGACTGGGCATAAGGAACTACCATCATCTCACTATCATCACCACCAGCTCACCTCATCATCATCAACTCACTATCATCACCACCAGCTCACCATAACATCATCAGCTCACCATTATCACCACCAGCTCACCACAACGAAAGCTCACCACCCTCAACCTATTTTCCTGAGACCAGTCACACAGGACAGGTAGGAAAGTTTCTTGGTCGTATCATCATTCTCAATTCGTTAAGGCGGACCTCCCTGTTGACGTTAGGTGTCCAGTACCTAGTCATCACTTTAGCGTGGGGAACAGTGGGAAAAACATAGCTGCAATACTTGAACCACCAACCGCCTCTCATCCCGTATGATCCAACACAGGAGCCATCTGTGGAGCAAGACATACACCCCAGTGAATAAGAGAGTTTTATCAGTATCAGTTTTAAAAGTAACATGTACACATATTTACACAACTCCACACACACACGTATACAAGTATATAAACACATTGACAAGCACCTGAAGCTCAGTTGGTAGTGTATTCGGCTCATTACCAATTGGTTCTGAGCTCAGTTCCCGGTCAGGGCGAGACTTTTGGTCATGATTCCTAACATTTTTGCCGTCGTTTACCTAGCGCATTTAGGCAGCTAGTGTTACGGTACCACAGTCCATCATAACGTTACTCAGATTTCCTTAAGTCATACTCACCCACAACCCGCATGGACTACTTCCGGGGAATATTTTATTTATGTTAGGATGAATAAATTTGTGTAATGAGGATGATGTTGGGTTGTATAAGCGTTTAATGCATTAATTTGGTCAAGAGCTGAGACTCAGCTCTATCAAGAACAATGAGACAAGACCTATCAAGTAACGCATCTACGAGACCACACGTGATTGGGCTAGAGCGTACGAGGATTGATTAACGAGGAAAGGTTACGTGAGTTGAACCTCACTTTGCTATAACGCAAAAGAGTTGGGAAAGACATGATTTATACTTAAAAATTTTCAGGGAATTGATATGGTAATTAAAACAGAGTATTCAACGTTCGTGGTACTCGAACCAGGGGACACGGGGAGGAGGGGGGGGGGGGAACTGTGTACGCAAATGATCAACCGAGTCATTAGAAAGAATATTTTCAGTATCAGATAACACATGGAATTCAGTAGGAAGTGATGTTGTGGAAGCAAAAAATACATTTTATATGTTGACATGATAGAGCTCAATACGCTCAGGAACCTGTAAATCAGATGATTAAGAGATGAAAAGCGGGAGCAAAGTGATTAAGCCTGACTCTGATTATGCCTGAAATGTGTTTGATTGTCTACACGTTTTCCAGCTGTTATATACCTTGAATCAACAACAATAACGTTGAATAAACATGGCCCAGACATGTTTTGCCTGGTGTGACAGGGAACGGGGGGAAAGGAAACTAAACAGAAGGGAGTGAAAATAGAAGGGAAGAAGTGATACCAAATGGAAGGGAGAGAGAATGTTTGGGAAGGATGAAGTGAGAATTGGAGGAAGGGAGTCAGACAGACAGAGAGCCAAGCAAGGTACCCCAGGATTGCCTGCAGGACAGCGGCCAGAAAACGTAAGAAAAAACACGCCCCTAACAGGTGTACAACAGCCACCAACAGCAAAACAGACAAGAGGTCTCCGTGGTGTAGTGGTAAGACACTCGCCTGGCGTTCCGCGAGCGCTATGTCATGGGTTCGTATCCTGGCTGGGGAGGATTTACTGGGCGCAATTCCTTAACTGTAGCCTCTGTTTAACGCAACAGTAAAATGTGTACTTGGATGAAAAAACAATTCTTCGCGGCAGGGGATCGTATTCCAGGGACCATAGGATTAAGGACTTGCCCGAAACGCTACGCGTACTAGTGGCTGTACAAGAATGTAACAACTCTTGTATATATCTCAAAAAAAAAAAAAAAGGTAGCAGGCTCCACTCCCCTATTTAGGGAAATATGAACCAAATTTTGCTCGTTTTCGTTTGTATTATTTCTTGGCCCCATAGCCGTCTTCGTAAACACCACCACAGATGTCAGAAGACTCCAGGGACCAAGAAGACAGCAGTCTACACCCCAGCACCCCCAACTGGACCACGCCTTCCAGCCCAGCCAGCCAAGTGAGAAGACACACGCACTCAATGTCGTGCAGGTTGGTCAAGCCCTGGCGCCGTCTCTCCAACTCTAGAACGATTCCTCTTCAAGACTATTCTTCGGCTGTACCCACTTCCCTGCTCGCCCCAGGGATATATTAACCTGTATATGGTTAATTTATTCATCCCCATCTATGTTTAAAAGATAGAAAATCTGTTTGTCCTGGAATGGAATCCATTGTCTTGGGGACTAACCTCACACACCTTTGCATGGTTATTGGCGATTTTTGGAGTTTCACAGAGTGGTCGGGGAAAACCCCTTTAAGCCCCTTGAAGGGAAATCGTCCTACAAACTCTTTAATTTAAGTAATCGGTATGTGTGAAATGTGCAACTAAAATTCCCTAGAGTTTTACATTCGTTTGCACAAACCAACTGACCTTGACACAGATGAAAGAACTCTTTGCCATTGATGACTCTGAACAATTGTCACTTGCACGCAATAGTCTGCAACTTGTGATCCTTGTAAACACTTCTCTTTGTCAGGATTATGAACACCATTACCCACGATCCACTCACTCTTAAATTTCTCACATGGAATGTGAGAAGCGTGTGAAGGAGGCTGTTTGATCTAATGATGTACGCTGGTGCCAACAACATTGATGTACTGTGCCTGCAGGAACCATACACTGCAAACACAAAAAAATAAAACGCCACCCAATCTCTCAGGTTATGTAGCATTCTCAAATGTTGGTTCACATAATGTCGGTGTCTTGACGTATTGTAACAAACTAGGCGGTTTGTAAGAATTATCCAGAATGGTTTATCGACAAGGGAGAATGGGAAGCTGGACCCGCGTGGTGACCCGGGACCTGACCCCAGGGAATTCGCGGTGAAAATAATTGACGCCTTATCCATAGTTGCGTATAATGAATCATTCTATAGTATTCAGTAATTTAGAGAAAATAGTCTTTATTCAGGTTGCATTCAAATTGTATTATAGAGTATTATTAGTTATAATATCAAGAGTATTCTAATTATTGAGTTAAGTCACCATCAGTGACGTCACGAATCAGATCTAAGTTGTAAGGCGGTCGAGTGACCTGGCGGTCATAAGGTCATCAGAGTTGACATGTCCACTATTTCTCATGGGTCAAATAGCCATTTGGTGATCCGGAACAGCTCTGCTGTTAGATGCTTGTGTAATTTAACTTCAGTAAAATAATTCAACCAGTCTGGATCAATTAAGTACAACAGAGGTTAATTGTTATAACTTAAACCTTGCTAAGTAACTTGGTAAGCGATGCGGAACAATACAATACTCTAGTCTGGGGAAGACCAGAGAGAGGACAGATTAGTATGGTTTGAGAAACAACTCGGGCAGGTGGCCTTACCATCATCGGCCTCCCGACAGCACGAACATCTAGCTGGTCGCCCAAGGTAGAGTTGCTTTATGAGTTCTTATAGGGATAGTCAATTCATTGCCGTTCAGGTCAATTTGGGAGTGTTCCAGTAGGGAGTGATAACCATTTAGATTTTGTTTTAGTTTTTCTTTTAATAAATTAATAGCTAGTAAATTTGCATTTTTATTATTTCCATGTGTTTGTTATATGTATATGAATTGGTCCTCGTCACGTGGTCCACACGAGGCAGAGTTGAATAGGGCGCCGATTCTAACATCGAATCGGAATTCATCATTCCCGTTTAATTAATTCCACACTCAAGTTCCAAGATCATCGGTTATAGGGGGATCAAGCCCCAAGGTTGATTAATTAGCATGATCGATCCAGGCCTCGATCATTGCTCTGTGTTACTGGTCTGGTGGTGGCGGCGGAGGCGACTCTAGGGTTTTGCTCGAAGCCTATGTCACGTCATACGGGTTGTAGAATCCTAAGTCGGTCAATCGTCTTAGGACCACGTGGCGTGGAGTCGGCTTTAGTAAAAGTTTTGGAGTCCCTTGGTAGAGAATAAAAAGTAAGAATACGGGTAGAGGGGGAAAAAGTAGGAAAGATAATGCGAGAACACCATTGTAACACGGGAGGGTGTTTCGATTGATCTTTCTTACCTTTTCCCCCTCTACCCGTATTCTTACTTTTTATTCTCTACAAGGGACTCCAAAACTTTTACTAAAGCCGACTCCACGCCACGTGGTCCTAAGACGATTGAACGACTTAGGATTCTACAACCCGTATGACGTGACCTAGGCTTTGAGCAAAACCCTAAAGTCGCCTCCGCCGCCACCACCAGACCAGTAACACTGAGCAATGATCGAGGTCTGGATCGATCATGCTAATTAATCAACCTTGGGGCTTGATCCCCCTATAACCGGTACCCTTTAAGATCTTAAGTGTGGAATTAATTAAACGGGAATGATGAATTCCGATTCGATGCTAGAATCGGCGCCCAATTCAACTCTGCCTCGTGTGGACCACGTGACCAGGACAAGTCCACAAAATATAACATACACATGGAAATAATGAAAATGCAAATTTACTAGCTATTAATTTATTAAAAGAAAAACTAAAACAAAATCTATTGGCTATTCCTGATTTTGAGAAAGAGTGGGAAGTGCACACTGACGCCAGCGGTATTGCTATTGGCGGGTGCTTAATTCAGCGAGATGCAGATAATTTACCCCATCCAGTAGCCTATTTCAGTAGGAAGGTCAAAGGACCTGAAGTTCGTTATTCAGCTACGGATCGGGAGGCACTGGCAGTAGTAGAATCAGGTATTTCGAGCCTTACCTATTTCAGCGGCACTTTGTAATCTACACAGACCATCGAGCGTTAACACACATTTAAAAAGCGAACAAAATGCCCACGAATGTCACGCTGGTCTCACGAACTTTCGGCCCACTCATTCCAGATTTTGTACAAGCCTGGTCCAGCACATGTTGTGCCAGATACGCTAAGTAGAAACATAGCGGCAGTTCAAGTTAAGGAAAATATTGAAGCCATTCCATCAGATAAAATGAGAGAATACCAGATGAGCGAGCCTAGATGGAAAGAAATTATTGAGTATTTAGAGGGAGGAAAATACCCAAAAAAGAAAAAGAAATTACCTATTCATGATTTTGAAATGAAACAGGGCGTCCTGTATTATGTTAATAGCCAGAATGATAGCGCAGCATTTCAACTAGTTATTCCGGACGCGTTGCGGTCATCAGCGTTAAAGCTTGCGCATGCTTCTAAAATTGCAAGGCATCCGGGGGTTTTTAAAACCCACTTGAAAGCAAAGTCTCTATTTTATTTTCCAGGACTACTTTCTGAAGTAATCAATTTCGTGA